GCCGGACCACTTTACATATTGAAAAGTAAGCAAGAGATACATTGAAAAATGGCAAATTTCACTAGTTGAGACAGTTTTCATATACTTAAGTTACGTCAGTATTTTGACCAATAAACTGATAGAATGAGTTGCCTGACGACCTGACAACTCAGATTTGTATGCTCTTTTTTGCCTAGGACCTGTGTCACGAGTCCGTTGTTTTATAACACTAAATTTTTTTGTAGGATATTTACATAGATCATTTTCTTTAGCGATCTAAAAACATCGTTAAATTTTCCAAAATCAGTTTACAATGTGTGTAATATTTTAACCCGTTTCTTTTGATGGAGATTAGCATGCTCGTAAGATTATAAAGTCAAAGGTCATAATGTAATTGGGATTAAACGTGACCCATGCGATTCAAAAGATAACGAGAAACAGGCAAGTCACGAATTCATTGTAAAAATCTTTTGATGTTGGGTATAACGTCGTGAACATGATGTCGTTGTTGTTCTTGTTCTTGAATTTAGAATTTTCGCGTAAAGCAACATAATGGTTATTTGCACATAATCGTCCCAAATTTTCACACCGCCAGCTCTTATGCTATTCTGGTTTGACCTATTAGTGGAATTTTGATCGTCAATCTTATGGCGAACCCATGGCCCCAATTGGCGGAGTGCGTTTTTGTGGCAAAGGGACGAGAACTACGAATTCACAACCCGGGCTGGCTGATCACTTCCAGCGCTCGGCCGGAACATGCTGTTATAAGTAAAGTTAATCTACTGTATTATATATGATCTAAATTATTACTTCTTGAACACCTTAACCCTACGATCCTTTACTTCTGTCACCTCGTATCAATTAAGTAAATATTAATCATTTTATGTTCAATAATACAAAAAACAAATGAAAACTCACATCCAAGACACAAGTCCAGAGTTCGTTGTGGTGGCGCTTAGCAACAGAAGCAGTAAAATTTCCACTTTAGTCAGAGTTCTTCCCATTGTTACTATTGCATGGTGTCTAGGACTAAAACACGTTCTTTTTGACTGATCACTGACCAAAATAGGTGGAGTATCCTCATTCCTTAGTGGAAGCTAGAAACCAACCTCAGCGAAGACTGTCGGTTCGAAGTCTGTGGGAGGTTATCACCAGCACAATGTATTACACTACGTTTTATACGGTTATTAGAACACCAAAATAGGTAAGGTTTTAAAATACATCTAAAAATGTAATGTTAGTTCTTTTAGGTTGTGTTATTCGCTTAAATAACGTTCGAAGTCTCAGGGAGGTTATCACCAGCACAATGTATTACACTACGTCTTATACGGTTATTAGAACACCAAAATAGGTAAGGTTTTAAAATACATCTAAAAAATGTAATGTTAGTTCTTTTAGGTTGTGTTATTCGCTTAAATAACGTTCGAAGTCTCTGGGAGGTTATCACCAGCACAATGTATTACACTACGTCTTATACGGTTATTAGAACACCAAAATAGGTAAGGTTTTAAAATACATCTAAAAATGTAATGTTAGTTCTTTTAGGTTGTGTTATTCGCTTAAATAACGTTCACCTTGTTATTGTTCACCTACATTTTTACACAACGACTAACACTAATCTAAAAGTATGACGTACAAAATACAAAATTTCCTGTTAACTGAGAAGAAGTAATTATTGAAATTTGCTTTAGGTGTTTACTTTTATTAAAACAGATCAATGACGGCCGTGGATTTCAGCAAACGATTTAAAAACTTTTTTTTTTCAATTAAAAGCTATTTATTTCCCAGTTTTAGATATACGACCTAAAATGAAAATGTTTACTAATAGTTTACTATATTGGTGATAATATCGAACTTATAAGCTAATTTCATGTCTTATTTCCGCAAATTGTTTGTTAATCTTCTCACACGTCGCTCTCTTTAATAGTCATATAATCAAGAACGGAATAACTTTCTTTTTGCTGGAAAATTCTCGTTGCCACAGAATTTTCTTCCCCTTTTTTTCTTTCTGTCTTAAAACTGGAAGTGTTTATTTCCGACAATGCTACTTCTTGTCACACGTTTCCACGACGGTTAGGTTTTTATAAAGTGTCTAATTCTTGCCACAAATAACTGTATTTTTTTTTTAATGTACAACGCCAAAAATACTTTATCACAGATATTGAATTATTTTTCAAGTCGTTAAGCATAAATATTTTCTTCTTTAGAGAGTGCGCGTACACTACAAGAGTTATGAGCTGGTCACACAGTTGTTATTCTTCCTCGTATAATCTACCTCTTCGCATGTTTTTCTATTATTTCCCAGAAGAGGAACCATCATCAATATGTTATTTTAAACTTTCCTGCCAGGCTGCCTACAGAACTGTAACGATAAACAAGAAAAATAAGTTAATAATGTATCAATAAAGTATTAAAAATGCAGATTTATAGCTCTGATCTAGACATGAATTCATTCCAATTTAGTTTGACTAACTTATGGGTCTTCTACAGTAGCCTACACATCTTTGTGGGTCTTCCACAATAACCTACACATCTTTGTGGGTCTTCTACAGTAGCGTTTGTGTATTTTTCTTATAGCAAAGCCACATCGGGGTATCTGCTGTGTCCACCGAGGGGAATCGAAACCCTGATTTTAGCGTTGTAAATCCGTAGACTTGTCGCTGTCCCAGAGGGGGTCTCTGCAGTAGCCTACACATCTTTGTGGGTCTTATACGATATCCTATACATCTGTGTGGGTCTTCTACAATAGTTTATACATCTTTCCGGGTCTTCTACAGTAGCCTACATATCTTTGTGGGTTTTCTACAGTAGTCTACACATTTTTGTGGATCTTATACGATAGCCTATTCCTCTGTGTGAGTCTTATACGATAGCCTACACATCTGTGTGGGCCTTATACGATAGCCAACACATCTGTATGGATTTTCTACGATTGCCTACACATCCTTGTCGGTCTTCTACGATAGCCTATACATTTTTGTGGGTCTTATATGATGGCTTACGCATTTTTGTGGATCTTATACGATAGCCTATTCCTCTGTGTGAGTCTTATACGATAGCCTACACATCTGTGTAGATTTTCTACGATTGCCTACACATCCTTGTCGGTCTTCTACGATAGCCTATACATTTTTGTGGGTCTTATATGATGGCTTACGCATTTTTGTGGATCTTATACGATAGCCTATTCCTCTGTGTGAGTCTTATACGATAGCCTACACATCTGTGTAGATTTTCTACGATAGCCTACACATCTTTGTGGGTCTCATACGATAGCCTTTACATCCTTGTCGGTCTTCTACGATAGCCTATACATTTTTGTGGGTCTTATATGATGGCTTACACATCTTTGTGGGTCTTCCACAATAACCTACACATTCTTCGTTCACACAGTCACTAAATGTTAAACTATTGGGCTTTACTAAAAGGAAAATAAGCCTAATATATTTAAAATGTGTAAAATTAATGTAATGAAGAATTAAAACATAAATACACTTCAAGCGTAATAAAATTTTTAAATTCACAAATTCAGCTTTATATTGAAGAAAGAAAAAAGGTTAACGTTTAGTGAAATAACCTCTATCAGGGATCTGATGAATATCTTTATCTAAGACTTTGATCAACTTCACTCTTGCAATCTTCTAGCCGTTTCGCATTTTGAAATACAATCCCTAAAATTAACATCAAGGAATTTGGGATTTTTATAATTTTAGGTTTATTATTATGTAATGAATCAATGTAAACACAGTTAGTAGTTTTTTTAGCAGCAAATGCAATAATAATATTACTAAATACAATGTTGGTATAAAAAACACGCGACAAAAACGCTTATAAGGCATATAGAGAAGTGTTTATATTATGCGATAAATGTACTTTGATTTCAGATTTTTAAATATATATATACGTAAGAAGATACAATTTACCTTCTAAATTTGATTATAAACGAGATGGTTAAACTTACAAAGTTGCGCCTTCAACTCCACCTTTACTTAAGAGTCAATTCGAACAAACAAATCGTTTTCGGTGAGAATCTCAGTAAGGAACCGATTAATTAGTGGTATTTGCTGTGCCCGCCGTGGGACCAGTCCTCCACACTACGATAGGCGACACAGATTCAGCACGGTAGCGCTCCGAAGAAGCTGAACCTGTACAAGCTCTGGTGTTTAGCATGAATAGCAGCAGTTTGTTTCCCTGATAATCTGCTTCACCAGCTATAAAAAAGTTTAGGATGAAATGCCTGTCATATGCGTAAAAATAGTTCAAACACTCCACGCAAGGCTTAAGTTGTTATACTGAAACATCAGTTTTTGTAGGCCTACGACTCTGGTTTACTTCTAACGTGTTTCACTGTATGTATATATATACATGTATATCTATACATATATACACTCTTAGTCGCCCCTCCGTCTGCATGCCACTAAACAGTCGCAAGTAGGTTTTCAACACCTCAGACATTCATCATCGCTAACAGCGAATGAGAGACTCATTCGAGATAAAAGAGAGGCGCTGATTGGCCAGAGAGTTTTCTTTGATAGGCTGATAGGACACATGTAAAGTGCACAGTAATTCTAAAGGGTTGTTCCATGACGTATGCTAATAGCTGTAGTGTGACAATTTACTTCCCCACAAAAATAATCCAGCATATTTCACGTGAAGAGTTTTATAAACAGCAGACAAAGTTGTGCAAAATTATGTCCATAGAGCAGATACTTGAGAGCACATAATGATTTCGATTAAACTTTTCAATAACTCTAAGAACTTATGAGTGAAAGCTAAAAACGAATATGCTACAGTCTGTCAGTCACGTGTGTCATATCCACTGCTGATAAGGCCTTTCGCTCAATGCCAAGCCTCATCAGGCCGGGTGAAATATGACAGATATAGTAGTGGTCTAGGAGCTTTTTATACCATCATTTGCATGAACATCGTCTGTTATGGTTTGATCTAGATTAAGCAAGAGAATTATTATTACTACCAATTTTGTTTAAGTCATTTACAAATCAGATTTTTAGGTTAACTGTTAATAACGCAACATTGTTTATTTATTTCATTTTAGCAGAGTTAGTTATTTTATTTGAATTGACTTTACTATCATTAAAGTCGAGAAATAAGATGTAACGTAAAAACTCAGAAGGGAGGAGAGAATTCAAACTCACACTCACCGAGGACCGTAGTTTCAACTCTAGTTCGATAAGAGAGAGAAATGAGCTTTAGATGGTTTTAGATAACGAAATGTGTTTGGTAGAATTTTTAATTATATATCAATCTCCGTGCTTTCTTCTTGAAGTTTTCCGCTCTCCAACTGTAGACCTAGCGTCCAGGTCAACTTCACCATCCGGTTGTGACGTCCAGATTAAGTTTTACTTCCGGTTGTGGTGTCCTGGTTAAGTTCACCTTCTGTTTGTGTAACATAAACATTTGAGTTTTGATAAATTAAAAGGTTCAAGGAAAGAAATGAAATAAAACAATGCGATACAACATATTAAGATCTTTTGAAACATGAAAATTTAAAACTAAAAAAGTACAAAACAAACACGAGTTTTAACGAATGAGTAACAGAAGATATTCGTTTATTTCTAATCAAGCACAAAGCTACACAATGGGCTATCTAT